TATTTTGTGTAGGTTGAATGTGCTGTGCATAAGCTCAGCTCTAACTAACCTATCCATGGCATAGACCCCCATCTCCTGCAGCCTTGGACCTGTAGCACAAGCCCAGCCAGACACAGCCAGTGTGAGGGGGGCAGTATGAACTGGACTCTCCCCTGAGACACCCAGCCAGACCAACCAGACCAGACCCCCCTGCTGATGAACCTCAGCCAGCCTGGCCATCTCACTCATGCCCCCTGCTGGATGAGACTGGGAGGCTTAATTACAGGACAATACACTGTAGTCTGATAGAGGAAATCCCTCTAACTCCCAAGTGAGCTTTACTAGACATGCTTTAGTAGTGGAAAGGCCAGAGACTTTTCTTGAATGATATCTGAGTACTGCACTTTGATTCACCTAAATCAACCCTGCTTAAATTGATAGCCAACCAGACACAACCTGTGAAAACCTACCACTGACCCACTCAACGTATCCCTAACCCTAGTCATAACCCTAACCGTAACCCTAAACCTAACCCTAGCTTCAAGTCCACACCCTGGCACAACTCTAACCCTAGCCATTACCCTAACTCTAACTCACTCAACCCACCATAATTCCCCACCCCTTTGCCCCTGCCTTGCCGTCTTACCTCATAGAGTTGGGTATGGCTCCAGAACAATCTGCTCCCCCCTGGCTGTCCATGTGAAACCCGTTCGGGATGGCCCACCGGCCAGGCTGGCTCAGTACAAACTCCGACCTGGTCCCGGTGATGGTGGTCCGCAGTGGGCTTCCTCCAGATCCAGGCCCAGGGCCTGCAGCACTCTCCCCAGCCTCGGGCTCACCTCGCTGGGCCTCGGGTCCAGCCTCGCTTCCCTCCTGCTCCATGACGGTGGCTAGTTCCAGATCCAGAGGCTCAGGGCTCTGGAGGAAGGACCTCTGCTGGATGAGGGGGGTGAGCGGAGCCTCGAAGCTGACACAGCTGTCCGTCTCATCTGTGAGTGACAGGACGTCCAGGGAGTCCAGACTACTGTAGCACGTCCCCCCGCGAAGAAGTGCAGACTCAACGATACGCTCAAACGTCGAGCTGAAGCCGTCCTTGTTGTCCACCCTGCTCTTCTCCCTCTCTCCCTCCCCCTCTTCCTCATCTTCCTCTTCCTCCCCCTCTATGGCCACAACATGCTCCACGATGCGTTCAAACACAGAGCTGAAACTGTCCTGGTTCCCCCTCCCCTCCCCTTCCTCCTCCTCCTCCTCCTCCTCTTCCACCTCTGTGTCCGCCAGCTCTACGGAACACTCGAAAGTGGAGCTGAACATGTCCAGGTGTTCCTGGATGACCTCTACTAAGCCGCCTCCTTCTCCCACATCTTCATCCTCTTCATCATCCTCCTCTTCATACCCTTTGATTCCGTTCTCAGGTCCTATCCCGTTCTCCAGCCTGTATGGAGAACATAGAGTATCATCGGAATAAAACTTTTATAAAACAGCTACATATTAAACTACACATAAACCCTCCGCATTAACATACTCATCTCAGTCTGTTGATGGATGTTCTATAAATGATCCGACCTATACATTCACTCATGACCACGCTAGTCAAGGTCTGCTCATGTCTGTTGTACTGACCTGACTATGTCCAGAGACTGTGGTGGGTCTGGTAAGTCCTGGTCCTGGTCTTCTTCCAGATCCTCAGGTGGTGGTGGTGGAGGTAACTCCTCCTTACCCTTCTCCTCCTCCTCCTCCTCCTCACAGCTGGGCTCGCAGGCTGGTTCTGCCTCCTCTGTGGCCTCTTTATTCATGTTATCCCCCTCCTTCTCCACCTCCTCCTCCCTTTCTTCCCTCTCCTCCTCTCTCTCTATCTCTCCATCTGGCTGACCATCCTCAGCATCTATCCTCTCATCCCCCACTCCATCTTCTTCATCACTTGTCTCTACCATACTCTCTCTCTCTTCATGCACCTCTCCTTCTCCCTGCATCACTTGTTCCACTCCCTCACCTACCTCATCACCCTCTCCCTTTCCACTTTCATCACCTTCTCTTTCTCTGTGTACTTCCCTTTGTACCGTAACACTTTCCTCCCCTTCCTCCTGATTGGTCCCCTCTATCCCCTCCACCTCCAGATCTTGCCCCTCCAGCCCTTGGGCTGTGGCTGGCTTCTCTGCAGGGTGGGCTGGGGTCTCCCCCTGGCTTTCTGGGGGTGTAGGGGGTTCAGTCTGGGGGTGTCCCTGCCCTTCCTGGGTCATGGTGCCTGGGTGTGGGGGGGAGTCGTCTGGGGCCGGGGGGGAGGCAGAGAGCTTTGGATCCAGGACTAGGGAGGACTGACCGTCTGGGGGAGAAAGAGAGGGGTGAGAAAGGAAGCACAGGTGAAAAAAGAGAAGAAAAGAGAAGAAAAAGGAGAGACAGTGGGGGGAGGGGAAGGGCTGCTGTCATTACAGTCATTTCATTATTTCTTAGCCTTAATTGTAATATGGAGGTCACCTTGGAAAGGAACCCCCAGTATTTGTGAATGTGTGTGGGTGTGTGTGTACGTGCTTGTCTCAATGTCTCTGTGTGTGTCTAGAACACTATGTCCTCTAAAGCAGAGTCCAGAAGAAGGAGAAAAATAGGGCAGAAGAAGGAGAAAAATAGTCCAGAAGAAGGAGAAAAAGAGTCCAGAAGAAGGAGAGTGAGAGTGAAACCGAGTAAAGGAAGATCATTTTAAAGCCCCTGCAGATGCATGTCAAAAGGATCCCGCTGACGGTCATCTTTTCTCCAGAGCAGCAGGCCTTTAATCCACACAGCAGCTCCTCTACTCCTCCTCACATCTCACATCATCTCACATCATATCTCACATCACATCTCACATCACATCTCACATCACATCTCACATCACATCACATCACATCTCACGTCACATCTCACATCACATCACATCACATATCACATCACATCTCACATCACTCATTCACTGCTTCATTTCTTCTCTTTTCACAGCTGAATGGCTAACACAAACCACTCAGGTTAAGTGCCCACCGGGGATTTAAACAAGCAACATTTTGGACACCAGGCACCAGTTTCTTTTGGAACATTAGCTGGAGATGGGCAGTGAGTCTCAATCTTCATTGGTCTAGGTTGTGTTTCATTGGGCTGGTAGCAGCACCAGCATAAGATAATGTGGGTAATGTATTATTGGATTGTACTAATGTGATTTTGGTATTTTATTTTAGCAGTCAGTGTTCCTGTTATTGTTTGGTGGTAATGTAATTGGCTACTGTACAGAGAACAAGGCTTTTGGAGCAAAGAACTCTTCCTGAAATGATAGTAGATTTTGGAGGAGCCACCATTCCATCTTCCCATTTAGTGCTTTCCCTACTTTCATGTAGCCGCATTAATAAAGACGGAGTCTCTGTGCGCTGACGTCGCATTGTCTGCTGATTCATCAGCATTAATAGACCGGCGGATATCCTACGGCCTTACATTAGTACGTGTAAGCAGATTTGAGGTACGTGTTGGAGTCGGTTATGATTTGGTTGCATTTATGTCTCCAACCTCCCAACCCTATGGACCAGGCTGAACCTCCCAACCCTATGGACCAGGCTGAACCTCCCAACCCTATTGACCAGGCTGAACCTCCCAACCCTATGGACCAGGCTGAACCTCCCAACCCTATGGACCAGGCTGAACCTCCCAACCCTATTGACCAGGCTGAACCTCCCAACCCTATGGACCAGGCTTGAACCTCCCAACCCTATGGACCAGGCTGAACCTCCCAACCCTATTGACCAGGCTGAACCTCCCAACCCTATGGACCAGGCGGAACCTCCCCAACCCTATTGGACCAGGCTGAACCTCCCAACCCTATTGACCAGACTGAACCTCCCAACCCTATTGGACCAGGCTGAACCTCCCAACCCTATGGGACCCAGGCCTGAAGGCTGACCCCCAACCCTATTGACCAGGCTGAACCTCCCAACCCTATGGACCAGGCTGAAAACCTCCCAACCCTATGACCAGGCTGAACTCCCAACCCCTATTGGACCAGGCTGAACCTCCCAACCCTATGGACCAGGCTGAACTCCCAACCCTATTGACCCAGGCTGAACCTCCCAACCCTATTGGACCAGGCTGAACCTCCCAACCCTATGGACCAGGCTGAACCTCCCAACCCTATGGGACCAGGCTGAAACCTCCCAACCCTATGGACCAGGCTGAACCTCCCAACCCTAGGACCCAGGCTGAACCTCCCAACCCTATTGAACCAGGCTGAACCTCCCAACCCTATTGACCAGGCTGAACCTCCCAACCCTATGGACCATGGCTGAACTCCCAACCCTATTGACCAGGCTGAACCTCCCAACACTATGGACGCAGGCTGAAACTCCTCCTCCCAACCCTATGGAGCCAGGCTGAAACCTCCAACCCTATTGACCAGGCTGAACCTCCCAACCCTATGGACCCAGGCTGAACCTCCAACCCTATTGACCAGGCTGAACCTCCCAACCCTATGGACCAGGCTGAACCTCCAAACCCTATGTGACCAGGCGGAACCTCCCAACCCTATGGACCAGGCTGAACCTCCAAACCCTAATTGACCAGGCTGAACCTCCCAACCCTATGGACCAGCTGAACCTCCAAACCCTATTGACCAGGCTGAACCTCCCAACCCTATGGAACCAGGCTGAACCTCCAAACCCTATTGACCAGGCTGAACCTCCCAACCCTATGGACCAGGCTGAACCTCCAACCCTATTGACCAGGCTGAACCTCCCAACCCTATGGACCAGGCTGAACCTCCAAACCCTATTGACCAGGCTGAACCTCCCAACCCTATGGACCAGGCTGAACCTCCAACCCTATTGACCAGCTGAACCTCCAACCCTATGACCAGGCTGAACCTCCCAACCCTATTGACCAGGCTGAACCTCCCAACCCTATTGACCAGGCTGAACCTCCCACCCTATTGACCAGGCTGAACCTCCCAACCCTATGACCAGGCTGAACCTCCCAACCCTATGGACCAGGCTGAAACTCCCAACCCTATTGACCAGGCTGAACCTCCCAACCCTATGGACCAGGCTGAACCTCCCAACCCTATGGACCAGGCTGAACCTCCCAACCCTATTGACCAGACTGAACCTCCCAACCCTATGGACCAGGCTGAACCTCCCAACCCTATTGACCAGGCTGAACCTCCCAACCCTATTGACCAGGCTGAACCTCCCAACCCTATTGACCAGACTGAACCTCCCAACCCTATGGACCAGGCTGAACCTCCCAACCCTATTGACCAGGCTGAACCTCCCAACCCTATGGACCAGGCTGAACCTCCCAACCCTATGGACCAGGCTGAACCTCCCAACCCTATTGACCAGGCTGAACCTCCCAACCCTATGGACCAGGCTGAACCTCCAAACCCTATTGACCAGGCTGAACCTCCCAACCCTATGGACCAGGCTGAACCTCCAAACCCTATTGACCAGGCTGAACCTCCCAACCCTATGGACCAGCTGAACCTCCCAACCCTATGGACCAGCTGAACCTCCCAACCCTATGGACCAGGCTGAACCTCCCAACCCTATGGACCAGGCTGAACCTCCCAACCCTATGGACCAGGCTGAACCTCCCAACCCTATTGACCAGCTGAACCTCCAACCCTATGGACCAGGCTGAACCTCCCAACCCTATTGACCAGGCTGAACCTCCCAACCCTATGGACCAGGCTAAACCTCCCAACCCTATGGACCAGGCTGAACCTCCCAACCCTATTGACCAGGCTGAACCTCCCAACCCTATGGACCAGGCTGAACCTCCCAACCCTATTGACCAGGCTGAACCTCCCAACCCTATGGACCAGGCTGAACCTCCAAACTCTATGGATCAGGCTGAACCTCCCAACCCTATTGACCAGGCTGAACCTCCAAACCCTATTGACCAGGCTGAACCTCCCAACCCTATGGACCAGGCTGAACCTCCAAACCCTATTGACCAGGCTGAACCTCCCAACCCTATGACAGCTGAACCTCCAAACCCTATTGACCAGGCTGAACCTCCCAACCCTATGGACCAGGCTGAACCTCCAAACCCTATTGACCAGGCTGAACCTCCCAACCCTATGGACCAGGCTGAACCTCCAAACCCTATTGACCAGGCTGAACCTCCCAACCCTATGAACCAGGCTGAACCTCCAAACCCTATTGACCAGGCTGAACCTCCCAACCCTATGGACCAGGCTGAACCTCCAAACCCTATTGACCAGGCTGAACCTCCAAACCCTATTGACCAGGCTGAACCTCCCAACCCTATTGACCAGGCTGAACCTCCAAACCCTATTGACCAGGCTGAACCTCCAAACCCTATTGACCAGGCTGAACCTCCCAACCCTATGGACCAGGCTGAAGTAAAGAGCAGACTAAAATGAATGACATCATCACATGAAGCAAATACAACGAGTGACATGCCGAGTCAGACACCTTTATATGGACAGTATTATGTTATTTTATCACACTCCAACACACACAACCAAAACACCCAAACACACGAATAGACATCAACATACAATCAAACACTTATGTAATCAAACATCAAAGCTATTGATGTTCTGCCTCTGTTTCTCACACGCACACACACCTGCGCTCTCGGCCATGTTGTTGACAATGCTGTTGAGCGTGACAGGACGACAGCTATGTAGAGCAGCAGTAAGAGTCCCACTGCTCAGGAGCTGGCAGATGTGCTCCTGGACCCAATGCCCAAACCTTACCTCACATTGTTATGCACTGTGTGTGTGTGTGGTTTGTGTGTGTGTGTGTGTGTGTTTTTTAGCTTGATTGGCAGATGATGTGATGGTATTAAAGGGAAATTGATAAGGCCTAAGAGCCCACTGTTCTGCTGACAAAACCAGAATTAACTCACTTACTCCAAAGACGCACATGCACGCACCACACACACACACACACACACACATCATCTGCCAATCATGTTGAAATACTACCGATAAGAACCATAGTCTCTCTCTAAGACCTCTTTCTCTCCGTCACACACACCCACCGTCCACACACCCACCGTACACACACCCACCGTACACACACCCACCGTACACACACCCACCGTACACACACCCACCGTACACACACCCACCGTACACACACACCACCGTACACACACCCACCGTACACACACCCACCGTACACACACCCACCGGACACACACCACGTACACACCCCACCGTACACACACCCACCGTACCAAACACATCCACCGTACACACACCCACCGTACACGCACCCACCGTACACGCACCCACCGTACACGCACCCACCGTACACGCACCCACCGTCCACGCACCCACCGTACACACACCCACCGTACACACACCCACCGTACACACACCCACCGTACACACACCCACCGTACACACACCCACCGTACACACACCCACCATACACACACCCACCATACACACACACACACACACACACACACAGATCTGGTTGGTTATTTATTCATCAAGACAAGGCTCCATTCCTCTGGGAGACAACAGTGATAAGCATGATTGGTCTGTATAATGTAGCAGAGAGAATACTATAGGAAACACTATAGCACAAAGAACTACTACTGAGACAAAAGAACAGGTAACAATGTGAATGGTATGTGAATGAGAATACACATATGAATGAGACCAGGTTGGAATATGAGATATGGAACACACAAGTAGACACAAAAGACATAGTCTATCTGTCTATCAGTCAGTCTGTCAGTCAGTCTGTCTGTCTGCCTGCCTGCCTCTCTGTCTGTCTGTCTGTCTGTCTGTCTGTCTGTCTGTCTGTCTGTCTGTCTGTCTGTCTGTCTGTCTGTCTGTCTGTCTGTCTGTCTGTCTGTCTGTCTATCAGTCAGTCAGTCTGTCAGTCAGTCTGTCTATCTGTCTGTCAGTCAGTCTGTCTGTCTGTCTGTCTGTCTGCCTCATCCTCTGTTTTTCTTCTTCCCCTTATTTTATATTTATCTCTCACAATAAGACTGCTAAGACTGTGTGTGTGTGTGTGTGTATGTGTCTGTGTGTGTGTGTGTGTGTGTGTGTGTGTGTGTGTGTGTGTGTGTGTGTGTGTGTGTGTGTGTGTGTGTGTGTGTGTGTGTGTGTGTGTGTGTGTGGTGTATGTCATTGTTGTTCCCCACTTTCTCCTTCCCTCTCACAGCAAGACCAGAACATCACACTGCAGTCGTACTGGATCTACCAAATGACCTACTAACCCTTTATACACAAGCCACTGCACTGTAGCCAACACACACACTAACCCTTTATACACAAGCCACTGCACTGTAGCCAACACACACACTAACCCTTTATACACAAGCCACTGCACTGTAGCCAACACACACACTAACCCTTTATACACAAGCCACTGCATTGTAGCCAACACACACACTAACCCTTTATACACAAGCCACTGCACTGTAGCCAACACACACACTAACCCTTTATACACAAGCCACTGCATTGTAGCCAACACACACACTAACCCTTTATACACAAGCCACTGCACTGCAGCCAACTATAGGCAGTATGTTGTATCTACAGGCAGCATGTTAGTATCTACAGGCAGCATGTTGTATCTACAGGCAGCATATTATATCTACAGGCAGCATGTTGTATCTACAGGCAGCATGTTATATCTACAGGCAGCATGTTTGTATCTACAGGCAGCATATTTATATCTACAGGAAGCATGTTGTTATTATTAACATGCAGCCTGTTGTATCAACAGGCAGCATGTTATATCTACAGGCAACATGTTGTATCTACAGGCAGCATGTTGTATCTACAGGCAGCATGTTGTATCAACAGGCAGCATGTTATATCTACAGACAGCATGTTGTATCTACAGGCAGCATGTTATATCTACAGGCAGCATGTTGTATCTACAGGCAGCATGTTGTATCAACAGGCAGCATGTTATATCTACAGGCAGCATGTTGTATCTACAGGCAGCATGTTGTATCTACAGGCAGCATGTTATATCTACAGGCAGCATGTTGTATCTACAGGCAGCATGTTGTATCAACAGGCAGCATGTTATATCTACAGGCAACATGTTGTATCTAACAGGCAGAACGTTGAATCTACAGGCAGCATGTTCAATCTACAGGGAGCATGTTGTAGCTACAGCAGCATGTTTGTATCTACAGGCAGCATGTTATATCTACAGGCAGAATGTTGTATCTACAGGCAGTATGTTATATCTACAGGCAGCATGTTGTATCTACAGGCAGCATGTTATGTCTACAGGCAGCATATTGTATCTACAGGCAGCATGTTATATCTACAGGCAGCATGTTGTCTCTACAGGCAGCATGCTATATCTACAGGCAGCATTTGTATCTACAGGCATCATGTTGTATCTACAGGCAGCATGTTGTATCTACAGGCAGCATGTTATATCTACAGGAAGCATGCTATATCTACAGGCAGCATGTTGTATCTTCAGGCAGCATGTTGTATCTACAAGCATCATGTTGTATCTACAGGAAGCATGTTGTATCTACAGGCAGCATGTTATATCTACAGGCAGCATATTATATCTACAGCAGCATGTTGTATCTACAGGCAGCATGTTATTTCTACAGGAAGCATGTTATATCTACAGGCATCATGTTGTATTTAAAGGCAGCATGTTGTATCTACAGGCAGCATGTTATATCTACAGGCAGCATGTTGTATCTACAGGCAGCATATTATATCTACAGGCAGCATGTTGTATCTACAGGCAGCATGTTATTTCTACAGGAAGCATGCTATATCTACAGGCATCATGTTGTATTTAAAGGCAGCATGTTGTATCTACAGGCAGCATGTTATATCTACAGGCAGCATGTTATTTCTACAGGAAGCATGCTATATCTACAGGCAGCATGTTGTATCTACATGCAACATGTTGTATCTACAGGCAGAATGTTGTATCTACAGGCAGCATGTTGTATCTACAGGCAGCATGTTGTATCTACAGGCAGCATATTATATCTACAGGCAGCATGTTGTATCTACAGGCAGCATGTTATATCTACAGGCAGCATGTTGTATCTACAGGCAGCATATTATATCTACAGGAAGCATGTTGTATATACAGGCAGCATGTTGTATCAACAGGCAGCATGTTATATCTACAGGCAACATGTTGTATCTACAGGCAGCATGTTGTATCTACAGGCAGCATGTTGTATCAACAGGCAGCATGTTATATCTACAGACAGCATGTTGTATCTACAGGCAGCATGTTATATCTACAGGCAGCATGTTGTATCTACAGGCAGCATGTTGTATCAACAGGCAGCATGTTATATCTACAGGCAGCATGTTGTATCTACAGGCAGCATGTTGTATCTACAGGCAGCATGTTATATCTACAGGCAGCATGTTGTATCTACAGGCAGCATGTTGTATCAACAGGCAGCATGTTATATCTACAGGCAACATGTTGTATCTACAGGCAGAACGTTGAATCTACAGGCAGCATGTTCAATCTACAGGGAGCATGTTGTAGCTACAGGCAGCATGTTGTATCTACAGGCAGCATGTTATATCTACAGGCAGAATGTTGTATCTACAGGCAGTATGTTATATCTACAGGCAGCATGTTGTATCTACAGGCAGCATGTTATGTCTACAGGCAGCATATTGTATCTACAGGCAGCATGTTATATCTACAGGCAGCATGTTGTCTCTACAGGCAGCATGCTATATCTACAGGCAGCATTTTGTATCTACAGGCATCATGTTGTATCTACAGGCAGCATGTTGTATCTACAGGCAGCATGTTATATCTACAGGAAGCATGCTATATCTACAGGCAGCATGTTGTATCTTCAGGCAGCATGTTGTATCTACAAGCATCATGTTGTATCTACAGGAAGCATGTTGTATCTACAGGCAGCATGTTATATCTACAGGCAGCATATTATATCTACAGGCAGCATGTTGTATCTACAGGCAGCATGTTATTTCTACAGGAAGCATGTTATATCTACAGGCATCATGTTGTATTTAAAGGCAGCATGTTGTATCTACAGGCAGCATGTTATATCTACAGGCAGCATGTTGTATCTACAGGCAGCATATTATATCTACAGGCAGCATGTTGTATCTACAGGCAGCATGTTATTTCTACAGGAAGCATGCTATATCTACAGGCATCATGTTGTATTTAAAGGCATCATGTTGTATCTACAGGCAGCATGTTATATCTACAGGCAGCATGTTATTTCTACAGGAAGCATGCTATATCTACAGGCATCATGTTGTATTTAAACGCAGCATGTTGTATCTACAGGCAGCATGTTATATCTACAGGCAGCATGTTGTATCTACAGGCAGCATGTTATATCTACAGGCAGCATGTTGTATCT